CAGTGTCCAAGGCCAGGTTGGATGGCACTCTGAGCAACCTGGGCTAAGTATTGGCCATCTAATTAAAGACAGGCTCATAAAAGTAAATAAACAGCTGCACATCTCTTTTTGCATTGTTTTTTGGGGATTTTTTTGTTTGTTTTACTTTTGGCATTTGCTGGATCCACCATGCTCTGCATCAATTTGAGCAATGGAGGAGACAATTAGGTCCCAGGCATTTAACTACAGGTGACTCTGTTCCTTCGAAAAATAGCCCAACTGCAAACTCTTGTGCTCCATGTTTGGAATCACAACAACTTGCAGAAGCCAAGAGGACATTTGGTTTCCTTGTCAGAACCTAAGATTAAGGAGGAAGTAAGAATCTCTTCCAGGTGCTGGACAACTGAGGAGGAGGAGACTCAGGCTAAGATAAAACACTGGGCATCTCTATGTTTAATATATGTAATGCAAACTGGAATTGCAGTGAACTGCAGTGAGCAATCCTGGCTAAGGAAATAGCTGTCACTGGAGAAAAAAAATTATAAAAACAACCAACCAAGTATGCAGACACAAGCAGAGATCTCTTTTTTCTCTCCAGCCAAGCTCTGCATCCAGCTCAGTCCAAAAGCATGTTTGTTTTGGAAGGCACAGGCTGCTGAAAAGTGTTTGGCCAAAATCCAAGGGGCCAATAAGTCCAGATGAGCTGAACGAGCTGTGTCCTTGAATCATGAGATTTGAATATATTATTCAATCCTGGATCTTATGAGCACATATAATTGTTGTTTATTTCTTGTCAGAGGGTGTGGACCAAAATGCCTTGATTAGGACTAATTTTTTCCCCCTCACAATTAACTGTTTACAGCTCCCAATTTTATTGTATGCTTTCCTGAACCATAGCTGACAACTCTGGAATAGCTTCTCCAAGGACAATGAGACCACACCAACTTATGTCAAACAAGAAATCATTAGGGATGATATCTAAAACAACACAGTTTATAATTACATTTGTTTCAGGGCACTCTGAAGAAGAGCTTCCTTTCCTTCTTTTTTTTATGAGAAATGATCCATCCTGATTCATTCCAGGTGGCTGGAGCCTCGCTTTTTTCCTGGAGTTACTTTGCTTATGACCTGAGCCCAGGACTCACTGGTCCCACACAAATCTTCCAGCTTATTGAAGAGGCAATAAAACAAAATGGTCCAAAAACCCAAAGAAGGGAATTATGCTAATCAGAATAGGTGTCACTCAGTGAGATAGGTAGCACTTTAACTACCTCAGTTATCCAGGGAGGGATAAGCCAGTTTACATTTAACCCAGGGTCAAAACACAGGTGGAATGGCTTCAAAGTCACAGAGAGAAGGTTTAGATTGGGTATGAGGAAGAAGTTCTTCCTGTGAGGGAAGAACTGGCACAGGTTGCCCAGAGAAGCTGTGGCTGCCCCATTCCTGCTCCCATCCCTGGCAGTGTCCAAGGCCAGGCTGGATGGGGCTCTGAGCAACCTGGAATAGTGGCAGGTGTCCCTGCCCATGGCAAGGGGGTTGGAATGAGATGGGCTGTGAGGACCCTTCCAACCCAAATCATTCTATGATTCAATGACGATGATGATTTTGCCAAGCCAATGACTACAGAAATAGTAACTATGGGAAAGTGGATATGTATGGGGCATGTCTGGGTGTCACTTTCTGTAAATCTTCAGCAAATCTGCAGATGTGTTGCACATTTTGGAGAGAAACTTTCAGATTTCAAAATAAAAAGCTAATCTCCAATAGGATTTTTTTTCCTACACCCCTATAACAATCATCATGCAAGTCCACAGGTCACCTGGGTGACTGGAATTTCTTGTGTATGACATTTCTTATGTATGTTTACATTCTGCACAACCTCAGTTCATGCAGAGATGGTCATCAATTGGTCATGAAGGTGGTACCTTGAATTAATTTCCATTCTTCCAGAAGTGGAGACTGTGGGAGGAATCAACCATGGCACAAAAGGTCAAGAAGTGACACCAGTATCAAAGAGACATAGTAGTCATGTTCAGGGTAGGCAGATGGGCTAGCCTCTGGCATGTAAGGATGTTCATCTGGCATAATGGAAAGGATAATAAAGAAGATTAAAAAAAAAAAAAGTATTAAGTTACATTTCTAAGTTTTGAAAAAATTGTCAGCTAACAAATCTTTGCTTTTGGAGAACTGAACAGTTTGATGAGAGTCCAGAACTTCAATAAAGATGACAAGAACAGCCTGATTGACTTATTTGAAAGAAAATGCATTTCCCAACCAGCCCTGGCATGGCACCAGCTTGTGACAGCTGTGAAAATGGTCAAAGATCAGTAGAGCCCAGGTGCAGGATCAGTGTCCCAGCAGCTGATGAACCTTTGCACAATGTGACTCTCAAGTTCCTCCTTGCCAGCAATGTGGCAGGCTGAGAAAGCAACATGAAGAACTATTGTGTCTACACTGCAAAAAAAGAAAAATAAATTGTAGCTGCACATCTACCTGAAAAGTCATTTTGAGAAGGAAAACCTGAATCAGGCAGAGTTCAAGACATTTTTGACAGATTTCCGTTCAGTCTCATAAATCCTCCTCATTGTGGTCCCTGTCACAGAAATACCTCAGAAAACAATCCAGCTTCTGAGCAAAGAGGAGCTAACAGAGTTTAGCTAAAAAACTGAAACCACTGTTACTTGTCTTGTCCTGCCCCTTACAAACTTTGATCTCCCTCTTTCTTTAAAGGACTCCAGAATCATAGACTGGTCTTGCAGTGGCTTAGGGAATCTTTATATTTTAACTTGCATTAGAAACACTGAGCACAAGGACAATGTTCAGTCATTACTTTCTTCATTTATTATTTAGGCTTTTGTGTTAAAAAAATTACTCTTAAAACTTACAGACAGCAAAAATTTCTCCAATGAAGTTTTAGTTTCAAAGAAATCCCACAAAAAATAAGTCTCAGAGCTAAAGAGCAAAACCTGCAATTGCACTGAGGCAGCTCTAACCATATCAGTCACATGCTCTGTTATTACTGTCCCACAGTAAAAGTGCCCTTGGCTGATGATGATGTCTGCATATTTTCTTATTTCACTGCATTACCCTCTCCCTCTTTTCATTTTCCATTCCGAATTTCTTTAACTTAAGCCTTTTTTATCTCTTCTTCAAGGAGACAGATCTGAGTGAAACATGTGAAACCAAGAGATTTGAGTAAGTTTAAAATTAGGTTACAACAAAGTTTATTATCAATCCTTATCTTCTGCCTAACAAGGGGAAAATATCAATTTAGTTTATTGGAAAAGGACGATGAATGTAGTGGCAGATGTCATTGGATACTAGATCATAAGGGGCTCCTGGATGTTTCTAGTCCAAGCTGAGATAACAATATTGGGAAATAAGAAACTTTACATAAACCAAAGACGTTTCCAAAAATAAAACCATCAGCCTGCTTTTAGGCACCTTGCAGTGAATTATAATTGGAGATAGATGACTGAAGTGACTTTCTCGTTGAGGCTGTGTATCTGTGTCCCCAGGATTCCTGGAAGCAAGCACACCAGGAGAAAGAAGACACTTTCTCAGACAAGACACACTGCCTGGGCAGGCAGGTCAGGAGGACTGGGTATGCACAGGGCAGATTTCAGAATCCAGACAAACTTCAGGCCTTCCAAGCCTCAACACCAAACCAGAACATTTTGCAGCCTTCCAGACCTGAGGGGAGCCTACAGGAAAGATGGAGAGAGACTCTTGACAAGGACGTGGAGTGACAGAAAATGGGGAATGGCTTCACACTGACAGAAGTGTAGGGTTAGATGGGCTATTAGGACAAAATTATTCCCTGTAAGGGTGGTGAGGCCCTGGCACAGGTTGCCCAGAGAAGGAAGCTGTGGTTGCCCCATCCCTGGAAGTGTCCACAGCCAGGCTGGATGGGGCTCTGAGCAACCTGGGACACTGGAAGCTGTCCTTGCCCATGGCAGGGAGTTGGAATGAAAATATCTTTAAGATCCCTTCCAATCAGGCCATTCTGTGATTTTTTTTTTTTTTTAAATTGAGGATATCAGCAGCTCTCACCACAAATTGCACCCATCCTCTCTTCCAACAACACCTAAGAAAACTTAGACCTCTTAAAATGACAGAAACACTCTCTGTTCAGAAAACAAAACCTTTTAGGGACTGGTTCTGCTTTGTCTGGGAGCTGTGCCAAGGATTTCAGCTGGAGGAGGAATGAGGCCCTTCATTTCAGTTCATTAGAGCAGGCACACTGCAGAAACTGCTGGTACAGGCTGCGGTCCCAAACCCAGTGGGCTGTGCTTACCTCATCTTTTTCACGTAGGTGAGCTGAGCCAGGATGTTTTCTTTAGTCGTGGGCAGTGTGACAAGAATGGGGCCTCCAAATAAGGTCACTCAGGATGTGTTTAACAACACCGGGTGAAGGCTGTGGCAAAGGCATCTGCACACACACACACACACACACACACACACACACAGCATCCACTGTACATTCCCTCGGCTCAGTGCGTCAGTATTCCTAGAATAACTGCTGGAGAGGCACTCCACCCCTGTGCTTCCAATGCTGGGGGTGTGATCATCCCAGAGCCACTTGTAACAGTGATTTTAAGGAAGGGGAGGCAGAGGGACAGGCCCCTGATTTCCGTGACCTCTTTTGAAGAGATACAGTGCAAAGGAAATTATTAAAAGCAGAGGTCGTTTCGACTCTGTCAACCCAAACTCCCGTGTGAGCTGAGCAGCAGAGAGGAGCAGCAGACAGCAAGAGGCTTCCTGAAGCCAGCACAGGCACTCAGATGGCACAGAATGCTGCAAAAGGGCAAGCCACCCACCTGTTTAAATATAAGTCAATATGCTTTATTAGGCAAGAGTGCTACAGGTGCTCCTACGTGATGAAAGGAATACCAGCACTGTGTGGGGACGTGTAGTTTTACTCGTAGGAGAATCCTGGAAGGCAAACCTATTGGATTGAGTAGAAAACTTTTTTTCACCTGCAAATTTCTGATGGTCAAAAAGTCCTTCCAAAAGATAGCTGCAAGTCACTTGTAGTAACTAAAATCTATTGTAAAAAAATCCTTGCCTTTGCCTTGTGAGTCTTCTCCAGAACTGAGGGGATAAGTAAAAGAAAGCAGCTCAAGGGATGACATTTAGCTGCTGAGGGTTTTACAGAGTTGAGGTGTTAAGTTTGGGTTGCAAAATGACTTAAAGCTGAAATTCAAATCAGTCAAAAGGGGGGAAAGTCAGACCTCAATCTGCTCCTGTGACCCTCAGTTCCTTCTATGCACACTTCTGCAGTTAGATGATGATACCAGGGAGGCCTGAGTGTCATCCTTGTTCCAGCCAAGGTACCTGGCCCAGGTGAGTGCCCAGAATACCTGGCTAAACCTGAGCTGAGCTGCCTCTGGAGCAAGGAGCAGGAGGCAGCAGGAGCAGGCCTGGGACAAAAGTCATGGCAGGGATGGGGGAATGAGACTCATTAAGGGCTGGAGCATGAATCACAGAATCACAGAATTATTTGGGCTGAAAGGGACCACAAAAACCATCTTGTTTCCACCCCCTGCCATGAGCAGGGACATTTTCCCCCTAGACCAGGTTGCTCAATGATTACCTTGAAAAAATTTCATCCTGAAAGCTGGGGTCTGCCTTATCCATCTTTTCCTTTCATCTTTTACTCTGGAGTGAGGATTTCCTCACTTTACCTTGGTTCCTGACATTCATAATAGGTGGTAGCTCATCCAGACTGCCTTGCAGCTCCCTTTCCAGGATACATCTAAGGAGTGCCCTGCATCACTGTGGCATCTGACACTGGCTGTGTAGCACCCCTGCAGTGGGAAGTAGAAAATGTGGCAATGTGAAATGGTTGTGATCTTTAAATTCAGTCTCATTTTTTCCTTTTATTTCTCCCTACAACAAGCAATTTATGTTAATTATCAGCAATTTCTTACCTGAGAACTGAGAAAAGCCATCTCAATTCATCAAACACCACAGGGCAATATAGAAATCTGAAAAATCAGTACCCACTCGTGTGGTAAAAGTTGCAGAAATATTGTTATTGCTGATGCATAGCATGCAAGACAAAAAAGGTTGTCATCACTTCTATTATAACAGACTTGGCTGAAGCAGTAAAGCAGCTTTCATACACCTGGATACCCCATCAACTGCTGAATGGGTAAAGGATAAGTGAAATACCCACAGAAAGAATAAACAGATCAGCTTGAAATAAAAAAGACATGGACTGCAAGAAAAAAAAAAAACTAAACCAAAAACCCACCACAAACCACATGCAGTGGGAACTTATAGGTTTAAAGCAAAAATAGTCCATGAAAAAGCAGAATTTGTATTATCATTCTCACAAGCAAGGACTTAATAAATTCACTTTAGTCCATCAGATTAAACAGAACTTAGTAAAGTCTGAAGTTTTCCTGATGCTGTGGGAAACTTCAGAAAATGCCAAACAATTTAAGCTTGTAAAAGTAATCTTTGCTTGTCTGACTATTATAAAAAGAGAAACAAATGCTCACAACTGGCATGTGCTTAAATGAGGCTGAATAAATTTTTCAAACATCTGAGAATGTTTTCTGTGCTACCAAGGCACTGGAGAAAGATCAGATCAGCGCATGCTGGCAAGCACAGCAAAATGTCATGGTAAATATGAAACATCAAACCAGAAAAACTGCAGTCACAGAAGAATGACACAATATTCCAAGAGGGTATAGTGCCTCTGTGAGACACTTCTGCAACTGAGGTATCAATATCCACGTTTCCATAGGAGTCTAATCAAGTGGACAAAGAAAAAAAAAAAAACAGAACAACCAACCAACCAACCAAAAAACCCCAGCATTTGTTCTAAGACCAGGGTGAAAAATATAGGTGGATAATTTCAACAGGAAATAGAAATATTTCTTTAAAAAATATATATAAGAAAAATTAACTGTTCTTTCCTTCTAAGATACTTTTTACTTTAAAGCATTTCAGATGTTATTACCAGTAAAACATCTGAGGCCTGGATTGTCTTTCAGTGCAGCCAGCTTTGTCAGGCTGCTCAGTTTAAGATCTGACCCTTATACACTTTGGCTAAAAAGTGCTGTCATTTACACAGGTGAATATACTCTGACGCAAGTCTCTGGATTTACACAGGTGTGGCAGCAGAATTTGGCAGGGTTTTACTAATTTTAAACAATAAAAAAACCAAAATCAGATCCACTTTTGCAGTGGGTTACAGCTGTATCAATCCATTAATGTTATCAATCCATTATACGCTGATGGTACAGCTCCTCAATTTGTTAATGAAACTAAGAATTTTTCATGCATTGTCCAGTTAGAGACTGAAACTGAACCTAACACTCTACAGTTAAAATCCTCAGGTTTCATTAAAGAAATATTCATTTATTGTTTGGTACTTTTGTCAAGTTTACATTAAATTTTGAAAGAAACCTTAACACAGTCTCGTTTTGGAACCTGTCACTCCTATTATTGATTAATGCACATACAGTATCCCATTAGTACAGCATTTTCATGTAATAAATGGAACCTTTTTAAAAATAAAAAAAAATCAGAAAATTTGTTTGTAAAGACCTACAACACTGGCAGGACACCTGAGAAAGCAGGTCTTGTATCTTGGAACATTTTTTACAAACTGATGTGCAATGCAGGAGCAAACATTCAGCTTTTAAATGTTTTACACATTATTTTCAGCTGCTTTTGGCCAACTTTAGATTATTTATGTGACTCAGAAGGAAACAGGTGAAATAAAAGGGACAGTTTATTTGAAGTAGGCTCTGCTCACATCAAGTTCCCTTCACTTAAATGGTGTGACACAAATATCACCCCAACTGGCTTGGTGTGGAACTCAGACCACAATGAAGGGGGATCAGGCTCAGGACAACTTAATACTAACTTTGGGTACATTTGCAACAAAATTTTAGCTGTATTTGACGATTCCACTAAATCAGAATGCAACTTGGAAACGATGGGGGGAGGTGGGTGTCTGAATAAACACGTCTAGCAAAAATGAAAGATAATTCAGGTCCGAAGGGTCATTCCCTTCAGTTCAAGTGCAGTGGATTGCCCTTCCTGGATCCAACAGCAGGGGCGTGGGAAGCTTTCAGATGTCACAGGGTTGTAGATAACATCTGAACATATGATTAGCTTTCGTGAGCTGTCTTTAGAAACCTTACATTTTTCCCCCACACACCTTAGCCAGAGATCCTTCCCTTGAGGTTTCGGGACACTTAAAATGTTGCTGTGCCAAAAATCAAGGATGTGGAGAAGGTTTTCCTGTGTGATGTCATGTTGCTGCCCTTTATAAGCCTGTGCAGAGAAGAAGGGATCCTGTCTGAGGAGTCACACTCCAGGCACGAAGGGAGGTGAGGAGCAGACCCTGACCCACCATGGAGCGGCGAGCCATTCCCCAGGGCATTCCCTGCAGCTCCCTGCTCCTGCTGCTCTGCAGCCTGAAGGCTTCCCTTGCCTTTCCCAACTCCTCTCCACTGCTGAGTCCCAGCTGGGGCAATGGAGACCACCTGATGCACCTCTACACCGACACAGAGAGGAGCAGCTTCCACCTCCAAATCAACGCTGATGGCTACATCGATGGCGCTCCTCACCAAACCATCTACAGTAAGTGGCTTCCTATGGACCTCCATGGGAGCAGGGCAGGGACAATGAGATTTTTTTACTTCCTCATCACCTATAGAAAATCTCCTCTTCTCATTAGGCAGGCAGGCAGAAGAGCACAGCCATGGGATGGAAAGTACACATCATTATAATTCTCCCTTTTATTTAACAAATAAAATCGCTTCAAAGAAATGTAATTGATAGGGAATTTCATTCCTTTCCTTGGACAACTAAAGTCCTATGGTTCTTCTAATACCCTTCAAGGAAAAACCACCTGAATTATCCTTCACTTCATGATTTTACCCCCAGTTTCCAGTGGAAGTTCCTATTAGAAGTTGGTAATGATATCCCCCCAACAGCTACTTCCCACTGGTGGTGCTACCAAAGAAACTGCACTGAGGGAACTCATCAGAGCACTGCTGGAAAACTGATGACATCCATAAATTCTGTATTCTGGGGTGGAGGGCTGAAAACTACTAAAATTTCAATGTGCACAGAAAAAGGGCATACAAAGGTCAGTTAAAAAGGGAAAAACTATGAAAGACCAGATTGGCATAAAAGAAGTGTTGAGCCTTTGGGGCTCATGAGAAGAAACTATGCCCTAGTATCACTAAAAGGTTCTCAAATTGTGTCTTCACAGTTTATTTTATTATATATTTTATTATTCTATTTCAACAGAGAATAGTCAATTCTTCTTCCTTTGCTAAATACCTGGCCCAAACACTTTAGTTAGTAGACAAATGTGGGGGGCTTTAAGACTTTGGGTTCTTTTATAGCATTTCAAAAATACTTCTCTCTTAGCAGCATTCCAATCAAAAGTAACTATGCATCATAAAATCAGGTTGTTGTTGTTGTTGTTGTTATTACTACTGTTATTATTACATCTATTTTATAAACTCAGTTAAAAATCTAAGACTAGATAACAAAGCTTTTATATAAGTAAATAAGGATGTTTTTTAAAGTTATACTTTAATTAATGAGGAAAAACGGTTTTTAAGGAATTGATAATGAAACACTCACAGACATGCTTGCACTGCCTTGTTATTCTTCCTACATATTTAAATATTTTATAAAGTTCATTTTAGGTATGTTGGTCAAGAAACAGTGTGGGATTTTAGAGAACAACAGATAGCAAAATATCACATTTTCCCATATCTGCCATGAAATGAGCATAGCAGGATTTGGAATGGTGCAGAAGGAAAGATGGAAATCAGACAACAAAAGGGGTATTGAGAGGGAGGGTGACTGATTTGCTGCCACTGAGCCACCAGACAATGGGAAGTGCCAAGTTCAGCACCAGAGTGGCATGGCCTGGGTGTGCACAGATCTCCAGGGTGGGACAAAGCAACACTGAGTCAAATGCAAGGAGCAGGTCAAGAAAAGTTGTTATTCCCACTTTACCTGGCACCAGTGACATTGCTCTTGCAGCACTACAGCAACCCCAGTTCAAGCTGGATGAGTAGAAGGTGGAGCTGGTCTGGCACAGGGTTTTCAGGAGGCCTTGATCATGATCTGTTGTGGTTTTAGTCCAGCAAAAATAATGTTAAGGGGAATGTAATCATAGAATCACAGACTGATTGAGATTGAAAGGCACCACAGGGAGTCACCTGGTCCCACCTTCCTGCTCCAGCAGGGCCATCCAAGAGCACAGGGCACAGGATTGTACCCAGTTGGTTCTGGAATATCCCTAGTGAAGAGACTCCACAGCCCCTCCGGACAATCTGTTCAGTCCTCGGTCACTGCACAGGACAGAAGTTCTGCCTCACATCCAGGTGGAACTTCCTGGGCATCAGTTCCTGCCCGTTTCTCTGGTGCCATTGCTGGGCACCACTGAAAAAATACCACAGGGCAGTCACAAAGATGAGGGGGACAAATTTCCCCTGGATGTGGGCAGTGGCAGAAGTGAGGGCAATGTTCTCAGACCACGATTTGGGATTTGAGAGGGAAATAAGTTGTCTGGGAGGTTAGTGCCACATTGGAACAGGGCACCAAGAGAGGTGCCCTCCATCCTGGCAGTTTTCCAAAGCCACAGCAAACTTGATTTAGGGTGGGCAGTAGTCTCAGGTCATGTGGGAGGTTGGTTTGGACTCTCAGAGGTCACTTAGAAATTGATCTAGAATTTGATGTTTTTGTTCTGAACAGGTGCCCTAATGATCAAGTCTGAGGGTGCTGGCTCAGTAATAATCACAGGTGTGAAGAGTGGACGCTACCTGTGTATGGACATGAAAGGAAACATATTTGGCTCGGTGAGTGACCTTTCCTAAGCCTTGAGGCTGAATGGCCAGTGCATTCTGCTGCTTTGGTGCCCATTTCCCCAGCCAGGGCAAACCTGTGTAGTTGCAGGTGGAGGGGAAGTGTTAGAGAGGATCTGACACTTAGGTCAACTTCGCTCTCTCCTTTGATTGTATTAAGTTGTAGAGCTGACAAAAATCATCTGAGGTCCTGCCTGGGTAAATGAGGACAAAATGGGATCCAGTGAGGCACCAATTTGTAGCACAGAGCCATGGGTGGGGACCCTCTGGGAGAAAACAGGATTTACTATTAGAATTCGTTTGCTGAAAGCATGGACATGCAACTCTGATCTACATTTGGGTCAGACACAGACCTGAGAGATCAGAAAAACACCTGCTACTGATCTAGCTCTTTCCCTCCTTAACTAGTGTTTGTAATTCACCAGACTCCTCTGCTCACAGGTGTCCTATGTTTTCCCCTCAGCATTACTTCAGCCAAGAAGATTGTGTATTCAACCACAGGACACTGGAAAATGGGTACGATGTGTACCAATCCCCCAAACACCACTTCTTGGTGAGCTTAGGGAGAGTTAAACAAGCCTTCTCCCCGGGTATGAATCCACCACCATACTCCCAGTTTTTGTCCAGGAGGAATGAGATCCCTCTGTTCCGATTCAACACCCCCGAGCCCCACAGACACACCAGGAGCGCAGACGTTGATCCGGTAGATCCTCACCAGATCCTGGTGCCGCAGAGGAAGACCCCGGTGTTTGGCTCCCTGCAGCAGCAGCCAGCAGACTTTCCCCACATGCCCAGGGAGCCCATGAGGATCAATCAGAACGATGTGGTGAACCCCGATGATCCCCACGCTATGATGGAGGCCAGGAGGTACCCAAGCCCCCGTTTCTATATCACAAGATAACCGCAGCTCCTGCGCTCGCCAGGTGAAGATGGACAAAAGAAGCTGTCTGTCACACCCAGCCTGAATGCCAAAGTGGCTCTTAAAAACCTAGGACACATTGGGAAAAGTTCCTTAGCTTCAAATCTTGTTTTGTCAGTAAACTGCCATCTGAAAGTACAAGCTGGATTTTTCCAGCTTGGGCTCTACTGGAAAGAAGATCCGTATTTTGAAAAGCGTAACACAAACCAAAACCTTTTGGGGTCTGAATCACCTTAAGTTTGCATCAATGAAGAAAACAAACAAAAAAGAGAAATCTATTTTATGAAATGGGAAACTGATGTTATGAAACTGATGTAGAGACCTGGAACATCCAAGATTTCTGCAGAGACAGGGAATCCTCTTACTAGCACCATCCTGTCCAAGCACAGCAGACAAACTGCCAGGTGGTGTGTTATTTTATTATACAAAAATTACCAATATATGTCATGTATCCAATATCTGAAGGGGCTACAAAGGAGCTGGAGAGGTGCTCTTCATCAGAAACTGCAGAGACAGGACAAGGGGGAATGGCTTCACCCTGACAGGGTATCAGGAAGAAATTGCTCCCTGTGAGGGTGGTGAGGACCTGGCACAGGTTGCCCAGAGAGGCTGTGGCTGCCCCATCTCTGGGAGTGTCCAAGGCCAGGCTGGATGGGGCTCTGAGCAACCTGGTCTGCTGGAAGGTGCCCCTGCCCATGGGAAGGGGTTGGAGTGAATGAGCCTTAAGGTCCCTTCCAACCCATTCTGTGATCCTTTGTTTTCAGCTTTTAAAAGTTGGAGCTTCATTCTCTCTTCACCTATATGAGTCAAAAAAAGGCCACTCTGCTGTCATAGGAGCAGCAGACATGGAAAACTGGAGGAGCTGACAGGACAACAGGACAGCATTAAAAGGTCCTGTGGGAAAAGAGCAATTTCTGACACTGAATCCAAGCTGAGGTTTTGAAAAAAAGGGGAGAGTCTTACTGTCTCTCAAGTGGTTCTCTATCATAGTTCTACATTTACTAAATTCTAGCATCCCTATATGGAAATAAAGTTCCTTAGTTTTGCATATTTCCAGCTCAGAGAGAAATACCAGGATTAATAATAATCAATAGTGTGTTAAACAAGATGGACTGGTTTTGCATAATACTGAACTCTACAGGGGATTAAAAAAATATGTTTTATAAGGATCAAACAAGTAATATTTATATTGTAATGAAGACTCTCATCTAATGAGTGAAAATTAGGTTTGTATTTAAAAAAGGAATATCCAATTAGCATCCATGTATGTATTCAGTTCTGAGCAGGCATCAGATGCTATATACTTGTAGGAGTGAAATTACTATTAATCAAGAAATCTCTAATGGTGCCAAAAGCTTTTCCCTAGATTGGTTTATGCTTTGGGTAAGTTCACTTTGAAAAGGCTATTCTTGATGAACTCTGCAGAAATCAGGTGCAAGGCACTGATGAGCAGCACAAATTCCAGTGTGGCAGAGCATTGAGGTTTTTATTTTGCAGGGGTTTTTCTGCATGTCAAAACACAGATTCTTCTGCTCTGTTTGTTTAGAGTATTTATCAGCCTGACAACAATTTGAAGCGGTACACTGCTCCTCAGTGTGCTCATAGCAACACACAAAAAACATTAGGTTGGATGCTGTTCTTTTTTTTCTTTCTCATGAAGTAGTTCACTTGAAGCCACTGGAGTTACATCAGTGCAACAAAATCAAACTAAGAACCCCCTGTGCTTCTTGCTTTCATTTAATTTTTTCTGGATTTAGCACAGCAGCAGGACTGCTGATAGTTTTTAAAATAATCGCTTTCCCCCCCCATATTTGTATATACACGAAATCTCTTTATCTACCACATCCAACTCATTATGTTGGAAATGTCATAGGTCCTGATTATGGTCTTAAAATAGTTTTCCTAGATGGAGAGATTCCTAATTAGTATAAATACTTAGGTGCACAGGACAAGCCAGATTATCAGGATTAGTTCAAGAGTTCCATCTCTCGGAATTTGTTTTTCTAAAGTTATCGTGGTTTTTGATTAATTTCTGAAGGAAAAGAGTGATTCTAAGGAATTAAGGGAATTGCAGGCAGGCAGACAGTTGTGCTTTTTCTTACTTATTCAAAATCCAGCAAGACTTTTTAACTTGCTGTCTATACAGTTGAGAGGTGTGATTTTATTTATGTTCTAGTTTGGTATCTTTACTTGATTCCTATACCATTATTCTCAGCTTTTGCTCCTTGAGAACTCTGGACACCAGCAAAGTTTACATTTTGCATTAATTGTCAAAAGCTCCACAGAGTTCCTCCCTAGGATTCTGAGGCAGCTGCCTCACAAGAACTGAAACCATTAAAAGCTCTATCCATATTCAATTTTGATGGGAAATATTGGTGGGGTTAAATCTATAGATCATCTCTATATTTCTACACTAAAACAGAGTAAGAAGGGTTGCTCATTCTATCAGTAGCCAGGGGATAAGTAAGCTAAGACTAAATTTCCAGTGGATTTTCCATCAAAAATCAGAATTTTTAACTATAGGCAACTGTATCAAAACTTAAAAGAATTTATTCTTCAATGGAGATGCTAGCAAGCACCAGCTAGTAAGAAAGCATTACTTATTTATGTCACATTATTTATTTATTTATTTGAGTGGGTCTTAAATTCCACAGAATATTTATAAGTATTTATAATAATGTATTATAGAGACTATTTCCTTTTATCAAAGTACCAATAAACTTTTCCATTCTCTCCAAATGGTGGATTCTGCATTGTCTGTTCAAGCTCCCCTTTCCAGAAATACTTGAGTAAACAAATAAATGGTAGCAGCAGTGTCTGAAAATGTTTGTCTGCTGCTGTCTCCTGTGACTTCCAGCCTCACAGGTTTCAGCTTCCTAGGTGTTTCATGCATCCCAAATACAAAAGTTCTGTGAAAGATGATGAGAAAAAACAGTGTCTTAGTAGGTCTAGACTGACCATGAAGGGATTTTAACCTCTATTGGGAAATGCCTTTTACAGCAATGGAAAAACACAGGTCTGTCAGTTCAGTCCTGCTGGGAACTATTTGTGATCCTGGCTCAAAGATCTCGGGATAAAAGATACTTGGAAAATTAAAAGCCTCTGCAAGGAGGGCTCCGAGCAGGGCCCAGCAATGGCACCAGAGCCACGGGCAGGGACTGAGCCCAGGGGGCTCCACTGACAGGAGGAACAACTTCTGTCCTGGACAGGGACTGAGCCCTGAAGAGATTGTCCAGAGAGGGTGTAGAGTCTCCTCACTGGGGATATTCCAGAACCATCTGGACACAATCCTGTGCTCTGTGCTCTGAGATGGCCCTGCTGGATCAGGGAGGTGGCACCACATGAGCCACTGTCAGGGTCCAGCCTGACCCATTCTGTGAAGACTCAAGCAGTTTTAAGATTGAAAGTTCATAATTTCCCCCTCTGTATGCTATTCTCCCCACATAATTACTGATGATGCCTTCTGACTAATATTTCCACATTCCTGTATTTTTATTCAAGTCATTACAAAAAATGCCCCCCAAAGGGACTTAAATTGCAGCTTTACTCTAGTTCACTGCTTGACCTTGGACATTACTACTTCTATGCCCTCTAATTCCTTGCATACCTTCTTCAACATGTTTTTTCTCCTAAGCAACATTTATCTTTTCCAGCTGAGCTGATGGTTTCCATTGTGGAATTAAGCATTCAGTTAAAATACAACTAGATTGTACTTCACTTTTCCCTTGCCTATACATTAGTTACTTCATCAAAGAACTACTCATTTAGTATAGTGTGAACTACTTGTGGTAAAAACTCATTTAATTAGATTCCAGGCTTCATTTACCTCTCTTGTCTGTAATTACTTTCTCCTTCAGAATTTGTTGCATTAACCATTATTGAAATTTCTTTGGAGAAGTAGAATTAAGCTGTGTGATTCTTGGAACTGTCTCATGCAGGGCCAGGAACTGGATTCACTGATTCTTGTGCATCCCTTCCAACTCAGGGTATTCCACGATTCTAAAACCAATTTTGCGAGTCCTGCCCTTTGGCAATCAAACCTCCTTTTTCCACCTCAGCTTTTAAATTCAGTAAATTCATTTTTCAATGGCCAGCTCTTCCAAAATACATTCAGCACTTATTACAGTCAAGTCTTGTGCACCACCCTGCTCCCATTCAGCCATGGCTGTATGACCCAACTGGGCATCAGAAGGAAAGAATATTACACTCAAACAAGTTCTGCCTGGACCTCAGGTGCATTCCTTTGGTGACTATTAACAGCCTTCTCAAGATTCCTGGGTTTTATCCTCCTGTGCCTTACCCTCTGTGCCCTCAGGAGCCCTGCTGCCACCCTCTGGCACTCAGGTAAGTAATTCACTGCCACATGGGGTCCCAGCACCCCAGAAACCCCAGAGCTGTCACATAGGAGACCCCCCTGAATGGCACTGGAGCCACCATACACACATAGATCCCTCAAAGTGGCTCTGCCATATCCATAAAATACCAGAGAAGTAGCTCACAAACCACTTTGCAGTTCATTTGTGCCCATGCAGCTGCCATTTGCCTGGGATTACAAAAATCCAAAAATTTATTTGAGGCCAAAGCCCTCAAAAGCAGGACACATCTGGGGGAAATCTGACATATTTTAAGTCCAAGCATGTGGGCTGTGGATCTGAGGCAGCCAAAAGCTTGGATAGAGAATGCATCTGATTTCCATTCTGGTCTAAATTAAAAAAAATAAAAAGGGAAAAGCCTCCTCCTTTTGCAAAGGCAGGGCTATGTCTGGACAACAGTCTTCAACAGAGAACTGTGGGAACAGAGAAAATATCTTTGCTTTACAGGAAGGAAACTGTGATACTACCAGAGCTCTCTGCCTGATAGCTGCTCGAGAAGAGGCAGAGCCATGAGGAGATGATGTTGGTGGGCCCAGCATCCATTGCCATTACTGAGTAATCCCTCAAATATTTATGTTCTGTTACTATTCCTCATGGACCCACCTATTGCTGCAGCTCTTCTTTCCCATGATCCCAATAAACTGTATAAATTTACTGTAAAAATGCACAAGAGTCACTTGACCAAATAAAGATTTAGTCTCAGTAAAAACTTCAAAGGAGGAGTACTACACACAGACCTAAAGAAAACAACTTTTAGAATGAGCTTCAGAAACTTCCAAAATTAGAGACTTTTTAATGCAGAGAGAAACTGGCATCTGACATAACAAAGGAGAAATAACAAGTGCAACTCTTTTAGGGCAGGATAAAAGCCACAGGCTGGTGCCCTGTCTCCAGCAATGTCAAGAGTAAATACTGAGGGAATAAGCATACCTGGGAATGGACACTCTTGACTGCTTGTACTCCCTTGGCCACTGGAAGATGTGTTTGCAGCATTTTAGTGTGTTTTACAAAGTCTGAATTGGGAGACTCTGATGCATTTTCACTGAAAAACGTGACTTCATTAAGACAGGAGCTGTTTAGAAAACCTGAGTGGTTCCACCCTTTAGTATTTAACCTTGTTAGGAACCACTGTACCATCTATCTGCCTCGTGTGAGAGTTACAAGAGGAAAGAATATTGTAACAGTAAGTTAAAGAAAAGCATCATACAGACATGTCTCTTAAGCTGGGTCTAAATTTTAACAACCTATAAATATAAAAAAATAAGGTAAAGCATATTCTAGAGGAAGAGTCAAAAATCCCTCTGGGAATAGTGTGACCCAAGCAGTAGCAAAGCACTTAGCAAGGAAGTAGATGCTCTGCTAAGTTATGGCATCATCAACAAGAACAAAACATTAATTACCTGCTTGAGAGCAGGCAAGAAAGAAAAAGAAACCTTTTTAAGTCAGAAGCACTCCAACACTAGTGTCTTTTGAAATATTTGATGAAATGACAGACTTAGGGAGAAAAATATGGCACATCTCCACTCACCCTCTCACATTTTCAACTCTGTTAGTCTGGCTCCAAGAAGAATTGATGGAATGACTGGCAAAACTGAGGATGTGACAGTTCCAGGGGAGTTTCACCAGTTTAAAGCACTGACAGGAGAATTCCCTGCTATGTCAGTGGCCTGCCTGAAATAAATTGGCACTACCAGGCACAAGCAAATTCAGAATGAACTCCTGCTCCATTCTCCTACCATTATCTCTGTTAGAAGTCATGATTGGTTGTGACCATCAATTTAGTATTAAGGAGCCTTCCAGGAAGATGCATTTCACAAAGAGCTTGAGGAGTCCATGCAAAAGTCATATTCCCATTTTAGCTTCCTGTGAAGGCTTATTTCCTTCAGTATATTGAGAAGGAATTATTTTATGACTGAAAAAGAGCTATGGACGCTTTTAAACAACACCAGCCCTAAGTGTCTTTTTCACAGTAAATGGCCAGGAAGGGAAAAAAGGAAGTTATGTGATCTGAGCAAAGCTTCACAGGGCAATATTAAGAAACATTTTTACCTCAAAAGAAATACAGATGAAATGGGAGTTCTATTCAGGAGCCTTTAATTTTTTATTTTTTAAAACAGGTTTAAAATATGCAAATGAAGAAAAAATACGTGAATCTTATAAATAACATAAACCAGATAACCTCACACTGTAACACCACAAACACCCCAGTGGGGAAAGAATGCAGTATTAACACCAACAATCACCAAACAATCAAACTTGCCTCATTCTAGGCAAAAATACTCATAGAATCAAGTGCGTGACTGCAGCTGACAGAAGGATTCCAGTCAGGTACAACTCACCCCAGAGAGAAAGTTCCTTTTCCAGAAAAGAGACCATTACTTCATGCACACGAGGTTCCTTATTCTGCTCATAGCTAAAAATAAATACTCTGTGTTTGTGTACAGTGCTCTTCCACAGAGATCTCAACAACCTGAACAATTTCTTAGGAAGTACTCCTGGCGAGGTAGGTTTATCATCATTCCCGCTTTACAAATGGAAAGGAGACTTGCCCGGAGTCCCACAGGTATTCAGCATCAGAGTCACGTCCCCTGGCTCTGCACCAAACCTTTCCCACTGGGCAAAGCTCCTTTCTAGGTTCTACTATTGCATTCTAAAATTTATTTTAAGACAACACGTATGTTTCATATTACAATATAGCATTTTGTAATAAAACAAGAACATAGTATAGCTCATCTTTGAGGTACCACTCTTCTCCCCTTCCCAACCCTTTCACTTGGAGGTAAGCAAAATAATTATGGAGTAATGCAAAGGAGTTGTTTTAAATATGTGCTGTAGGAGCAGATATGCAAGTGACTGCAAGTATTGTTTCTGAGAACAGAGAATATTTGTTTTATTTTGCTACTGCCAACTTATACTGGGCACTAGGACCATGCAAATTGTGGTTTTTAAGATGGCAAGCAGTTGCATGTTTCCCTTTTTGCAATTTAGTGTCAGCAATTCCAGTCAATCCCAGTAATTACTACAGATACTTTTCCCAAGCTTAGCAAAATTGTGATTTAATACCACTTTACCCTCACAGAGATTCTTAAAACACTTTTGAAGCTACACATTCAGCTCCCACGTCCACTAAGTGAGAGTCTTGGTTAAGACATACACATGTGATTTTGGGGTTTAACAAACTCCCATTTTCAAGTGTGATAATGAAATGACTGACTCCGGTATTGGGACTGACAGAAGACAGCTGGGACTTGCTTAAATTTGCTGGTAAGGTACAGTTGAGATCTGAAACAAAATAGCCAATCCAGTTCCTCATGTAGGCTCCATGACTCACCACCAAAATATTGGCATCTAATATGGTGGAAGATCCGCTGCCCTCAGAGCTCGGCTCCGCCTCACTGCAGTGGTTTGTCCAAGGGAAAACAAACTGTTCAGATGTTCCTGAGCTCCTGCCTGGGGCACCAGACTTGCCGTGCTCCTTCTGCTCCAACTCAACAACCAGCTGGCACAGGAATTCAAAAAAATCCCTCGCACGCTCTCTCACCTGCAGGAAAAGGCCAGAAAGGAACGTTGTGAAGAACGAAGAGATTGCTCTGAAGCAAGCACAGATCTGGCCTTTCAGAAATCTAACATGTAACCTTAACTTCAGTTAAAAGACAAAGATTTCTCACAGACAAGGCTCAGAAGCCAATACAAGTTAATGTAGTGGTTTTGGTTCGTCAGTCTATACAAACCACCACAGTTATTGACTCCTGTGCAAACTCCTCTGCCCTCCAGAGAGCAATTGCTATCATCCTCCTGTGAGCCAGAGTTTCATGAGGAGTCAGTCTCTAAATATTTTAGCTATAAAGAGATTCCCCACCTGGCAGCCAATGTTATCAGACCAAGCAGCATTTTTCAACTTCGAAAATATCTCTGGTTGGGCTGAGCTCTCAGTAGGAGGCTCCCAATACCTTCAATTGCACTGATAAAAAAGCCTAGAAAGCAGGGCATAAGTAAGTCAGTAAGTAAGTAAGTCCTCAAGTTGTACTCAAGAAGTATCAGTAGCTGAGACAGTCGTGGGTAAGTTGTGGCAGTAAGTGTTTTGGTTTAGGGCAAATCTGGGAGGAAACTGTTGAATAGGGTTCTTCTAGGAAACAGATTTAAGCACTCTCTCCTAATTGGTTTGGGGAAAAATATTTCCTCGGAGAGAAGTGGAAAAAAAGTTGTTCATTTAACAGGCAAAACACTTTCCAGTACAAAAATGAACAATACTAAACAGCAAAACCTTTGGCCACTCCGAAGAGATGACAGATTTAGGAGAGTCCTTTTCGTGGGTTGCAGCCTGGCTTACTCAGTTGTTATTAGTTTCTTTGGCACTGGGAAATGCTGCGGCCCAGGCCAGGCCTGGTGGGCCACAGGTGTGAGCTCTGGTGCTCCCTTGAGTTTTCAGCTCGAACAATTCCAAGAAAAAAGAGGAAAAACGCAGTCTAGGGAACTTCTTTGCCTCAATTGGTTAGAAAAACTAACCAAATAAAAAGCAAGAGAGAGCTCTTTCCCTGCTGTTCACCACAGACAACACAGTCTGTGAGCAGGATGCAGGGGTGCAAGTACAGTCTCTTATAACAAAACTCTGCACTTCTTCTCCCCCTTTCACTCCTGGAACCAGTCTGAAAGCTGCAGAATCCAAAATTCAACACCAACAGAACAGATGACTGGGGATACAAGATCATACAGTCACCCCAAGATATTAAGTCAGGGGTGGCAGTCAGTCAGTGAGTAAGTAAGTTGTGGCAGTAAGGAAATAAATAAATAAATAAATAAATAAGTAAATAAATACCATACTTCATCCAGTGTTTCTCCTCCAGAAGGTGTGAATGAAGGACATTGCTCTCCAGCATCCTTTGCCATAGCCTTGAGGTCAGCCAAAGGCCTTCCTTCTGCAACACCATATTTCTGTAAGGGAAGCAGGGGGTTTGGCAGGATGTGTCAGGTCTCCTGTGCCCCTTCCAGAGGCTGCAAACAGCCCTTCACAGCTTTTTTTCCTTGGATTCCCAAGGCTTAGCTGCCTTTTACATTTTATCCCAGTTTTGGGCAAGAAAATATATATATATATATATATATATATATATATATATGTCCTTTTAAACAGCAGATACATATATACATCTATATATATGCTCAGTAGATAAAAACACTAAGAGCAGCATCTCATTGAAAGCATGGACATTCAAAATATGACGTGCAGTCTGGTCTTTGCATGGAGATTTTTTTGTTCCACTGACACTCATTCCCAGCATACAACTCAAGTGTCTTTGTGACTGAGGTCATACTGCAAGTGTTTCTGTACATAGCCCTTCACATGAGGATAAACCCTATTTTCTTTTTGCTTGCAGGAAGGCTACAGGGAATTATTTTCCACATGTAAGAAACCAGTATTTTCTCCAAAGACCTATGAAGTCTTCAGACTTAAATTCAGAATTTTTGAAAAAGACATTAAAAAAAGGAAACAAAACCACACAAGTACCCTCGCAATTAAAAGTAAATAATAAGGTCTTGCTGATTTCAAGGGAAGAACTGAAATTTCTGAGTGAAAAAAGATTCAAACAGGAAATGCTACAATCATGTGCTGCTCTTTAAACACTAAATCTTACCTTACTTAAATCATTAAAGCAGCCCAGTTACAACATTCATCACTTAATTTCGGCTCTGCTTCACCATTCTGCCAACAAATTATTGTCCCTGATGCGAACAGTTCTGTTTCCAGTGATTAAAAACACATCAAACAGTGCTCTCCACTGCTAAATCTACCATTCAATAAGCCAAGATACCCATCAACAGGAAATTACATTTTCAAATTGTTCAATATTTGATAACAAATTCTTTTCGCACTTACTCTCTCTCGTAGTCTTGCATCATACTTGATTTCCAAATCTTTGCAAAACTTGTTTTTCCCTAGAATGGCAGCAGCGGTCTAAAAAGTGAATATACAGTCACATCAACTGGACAGAACACAGACACACCACCTTACACCACCACAACCAAGGTGAAGCCCATCAGCAGCATCCAACAAGCCAAACCAAAAAAACAGAAAGTTTTTCAGCTACCAGTCTGGCAGAATTGGATAGATGGCCCACTCCAGGCTATAAAAATAGGAAAGCTGCAATCTTCTGGCAGTTCCTTCCCATCCAAAGTCCAGAACAGCCAAAAACACAACATCCACGAGAGGTGGGCAGCAGGGTTTACTGGGATAAGAGCCTCATCTTCTCTTGAGTAGAACACAGAGCAATCACGTCCACGCAGTCTTTTCATGTAGTACATGGGCCAGACTCACAACTGTGTTCCCCAAAGTGCTCAGTTAATCCAACTGAAAAAACATCTGACACCTCTCTGGCTGCCACAGCCAATCCTTAGGGCTGGAAGGGACCTCTGGAGACCACCCTGCCCAGGCAGAGTCACCTGGAGCAGGTGACACAGGAGCATGTCCATGGTTCACACATGCACCCAAGTGTGAAAGCTGCACTGGCTTCACAGACAGTTTGGGCTGTGCAAACATCCAGACCCAATCAATCTGACATTTAAAGAACTCATTTTGAAAATGATCTTTGGATTCTGGCACAAATAAGCAGCCTTGTTGTGCTACTGGCACATTTAACATATTGCTTAGGACAAATTTGGTCTTGGAACTTGAACCTTCTGTCAAAGAGTAACACAGAAATAAAGACAGAGTTGAATCCACTTCCTTGTGTATATGCACAGCACAGTTATTTGTATGATTATATGCAGGAATTTCCTCTTTTGCAACAGAACTTGTACATTCCTCCCATACTTGAGCTGTGAAGTGACAGAGTAGTAACAGGCTCTTCATAGAACTGCAGCTGCCAAGAAAGGGCGTTCTGAACACATGGAAACTTCACCTTCACACATCTTTGAGAAAGCCTTCCCAACATCTGGATAGCTTGTCAAACAAATGGCAAAACACAATTCCTGTATGCAAAAGAAAAATCCAGGTCTTTCACATTAGGAGAGTGCAATTCTGAAAGTGCTTCTCATGGAAAAGGCTGTCTCTAATATAAGAAAAAAAATCCCAGACCAATTCCCATAAGGCAGACACACAGCATAGACACTTTCATGAAAGTTAGAAAGCACTCTTCATGTTTTCAAATATCATCACTGCCATTCACACACATAAAGGAAGTGACTCAGGCAGCTATTCTGCATTTTTAAAATATCCAACTATTGCACTCTTCCCTCCTTGTTTTTTTTGTTTTCTGCTTAAGTTGTGCTCCTACAGCAGTTTCTGGAATTGTGCTGCAAAACTGATGAGCAATGTTGACGGTGTATGTTTCAAGGAAAAAAAAGGAGATTTATACTACATTTTGTTGATCTGGTTTACGACACAGCTTCATAGACTTTCAGCAGGACAACACAGCAAAAAGCAAGCAAACAAGAATGGCTTAGGAGTTTCAAACCCCTACATGTCTCTTGAAAACACAGAATCAGTAACAGAAGAACTAAAGACCGGGCCTCCACAGGAGACATGACCTTCTTAGAACAACTGATCTCTGACTTGAAAAATTTTCATCCCCTAATTTGCAGTATTTCATAATCCTGCACACAAGGTCACATGGGTAATCCCATGTAGTTATTTTTCCTCTTTATTTAATCTATATTGTGTATTTACTGCATCAAGGCAAGAGTTGTGACATGCCTGACAAAATCCAACATCTCTGCACATTTAATGATGCTTGTGCTGATTTCACATCAAAACTTGACCTTGCCTGCATTAGTCTGCATTCCACAGAAGAACACAGCAAGCAGCCACAGTGCCTGGGTCAGCACAACAGTATCACAGCTAACCTGGTTTGCTTCTTCAGGGAAAAACTCAATTTCTGTCTGTGATATCTTGAAGTCTCCATTACTCCTTTAGCAAGACCAATGCCCATATAAAATAATGGCAAATCATGGAATCGTGCACTGGTTTGGGTTGGAAGGGACCTTAGAGATCACCCAGTTCCAACCTCCTGCCACAGGCAGGAACAACTTCCACTATCCCAGCTTGCTCAGAGCCCCATCCAACTTGGCCTTGGACACTTCCAGGGATGCAGGGGCAGCTTTTGGCTCTGTCACTGCATTAATTTTGCATCACCATAGCAAAATCTGGCAAATAAATGCCAGAAGCCAGTTGTTGCCTCAAGAAGCACTTACCTGCTTTGCTCGAAGGAGGTCACTTGAAAAGACATGGGTAAACTTCACATTACTGAGAAATAAACCAGCAGCATCTGCTTGTCTAAAACCAGTTGCAGAGAGTGGCTCATCCACTCCTTGACCTACAAAATAAAAACCCCACAACATTAAGACATGCAAATTTCAGACCATTTAGCAGCTGACCAGACATGTCAGCAATAAAGAAATTACCCAGTCATAAGAAAATCTTTCTCCTTTAGTAAAGCAAACCATTAGGAAAAGCTACTGCTCTTCTAGTCTTCCCTAAACTCAGTCACAAACTTATTGATGAAAAGGAGTGAAGTTTAGGAAGACAGAAGGATTATTATCAATGACAATTACATCAATCTATAACTTGGACAAATTTAAACATAAAACAGAGACCTACATTTAATAAATGTGACCATTATTAGCAGGGTCACTGGTCGGGCTCCTGCAAGAGGTATCTCACAGCTGAAACTTCATAAACAGATTTGTTAAACACAAATAAGAAAGAGGACAATATCACTGAGAGAATGAGATGCAAACACAATCTGTTGTGGTCTCTTCTCTCCACCTCACACACTGGCAGTAATGCTCACACAAGCTGGAGCAAACCCAGCTGGAAAGCAGCAAATCTTCGATAAATTGTTTCCAGCCAGAAAGTCTGTGAGAATAACTGGTCACGGAGCTCTAGGAAAGTGTTGAGAGAAGCAGCACTTTGGAAATCCAATCTGAGTTAAACAGGTGTGCTCCTGCCACAGTTCAGGGTCTGCAGGAGAACCCAGAACTGTGGTGGAGGGACAAACATGTAACAGATTGCTCTATCTACAACTTTTATGCATTTTAGTTCTGCAGGAAGCCAGAGCAGAGAGAGTGAAATTCCCATCAGATTCAGAAAAAAGAAAATAAACTATTTTCACTCAGAAAACGCACAATCCAACAGCAAATGACAGGACACCAGAAGCCCAGAACCCGGGTTCTGAGCACATCATCTGTAATTCAGATGTGAGATGTCTGACCCCAGTGTGCTGGTAACGGCCTTACACGTCTCAAAACAGAAGCTATGTTCTCTTGACACTGGAGAGGAACCCACTACACATCATTTGACCCAAGGAGCTAAGAATTCAAAAAACATCATCAATATTTTTAAGCAAGTAGAATATGCTTTACACGTTTTATTATGTGCACAAATCCATGTTGCAAGAACTGTAAATGGACATGTCACAAAGGGAGAAAAATCTGGAAGCACAATTCTCCTTCACAACATGAAGTATTGCAGAAAGCTCATTTATTCAGAGTACAACCCCAGCCTTGATTTTCCTACAGCAGACATCCAGGCAGCTCAGTGTGTTCAATTCTGGATGTACAAGCCTGCAGCCTTGGTGAAGGTGAAATCTAATTCTAAATGTGTCTAATCAAGACTACCTTCCTAGAAAGAGCTGGGATTGAACAATTCAAACTTTTAAACAACCTTTACTTTTCATTCTCCCTTGCCTACTCCAGGTTTTTACTGCAAATAACAGATTCCCTTCGTGAAGCAACAGCCTCCCTCACATCAGGATCTTTATCCATCCTTCTGCAGCTTCTTTCCCCAAACTTCGTATTACTGGGATTTAACACAGTGCTATGGAGTCCTTAGTAAAAGGTGCTGCTACCATTTTATTCGATTACATCCAACATATTTTTTACCCATGTAGAAAAAGGAACTCTTCTAATACTCCTGTTAAAACACAAAATGCATCAGCATCTGTTGATATTCTGTGGAGGGTGACTTCAAATCTTATGTAACATTATGAAAGCCGTGTCCTGACTTACACATAAAGTCTCGAAGGTTTACAGTGTTATTGCTTAATAACATCTGAGTAGTTGGTGACAGGATTTCACCATGATTTTCCATCTCTAACCAGCTAACAGAATAACTCCTACTAACCTTGCAGTATCTTGTCTTTGTTGTATCTTGTTTCTCCACTGAAAGACATTGTAAACAACAACAAAAAAAGTTAATTTGTCATATTTTAGTGGATTTTCAAAAACATTGTTGTATTAAATACCAACAAGGGACAGCAGCACCTGAATGTAAAAAAAATGAGATACAGTACAGCACAAACTCTTTTCAAAACAATCCACGCAAAGATTTTATAACAATAAAAAACCGTTTTCATATCAATTCCAATCATGTTGCCAGTTTTTAATGAGACAAAGCCATCTGGAATGTAAATAAGAGAAGTCATTTCTTAAATTTATCATAAATGCAGCACATTTTTTTTATCTGTAACAACTACACCTCCGTGCTGGAGAGAACAAAGCTGCAGGAAGACTCTGGAGCCCTCTTTTGACAAGCACGTGTTGGCAGCTGGTTCTCTGAACTTTACAGTTCCAGAGATTATCAAAGGTATCAGCAGAGCTGCACACCTGGAACAAACAGAGCCTAGGAAATCAGAGCAAAAGAAATCATAGACTCATGGAATGATCTGGGTTGGAAGGGATCTCAAAGCTCATCCAGTCCCACCCCGTGCCATGGGCAGGGACACCTTCCACTATCCCAGGTTGCTTCGAGCCCCACCCAGCCTGGCCTTGGACACTGCCAGGGATGGGGCAGCCACAGCTGCTCTGAGCAGCCTCAGGGCCTCACCACCATCACAGGGAACATTTTTTACCTGACAGCCAACCCAAACCTCCCCTCTGTCAGTGTGAAGCCATTCCCCCTTGTCCTGTCACTCCAGGCCCTTGCAAAGAGTCTTCCTCCATCTTTGAAGTCACCTCAAAGCCTTCTCCTCTCCAGGCTGAACAATCCCAATTCCCTGAGCCTTTCCTCCCAGCAGAGCTGCTCCATCCCTCTGATCCCTTGGTGTCCCTGCTCTGTCGTGGCTCCAGCAGCTCCCTGTCCTTGCTGTGCTGGCCCAGGGCTGGGTGCAGCCCTGCAGGGGGGTCTCAGCAGAGCGGGGCAGAGGGGCAGAATCCCCCCTCCCCTGCTGCCCTGGGGCTTATAGTAAAGGAGAAAAAAAGCTCATCTTTGCTACAAATTAAAGAGTTTTCTCCTGACAGCTGCAGGAAGCTGGAGCTACTTGGTTCAGTCAGCTACAAACCTCTTCAATAGAGTGGGAGAAAAAGTCACCTTAGGAATTCCACCCGAGTCACCAACCACCAATTCTTTAACATTTCACACCACCACTCCTACTCTTGCCTCGCCTGAGAGCTTTTGCTCAGCTTCCCCCTCCCGCTGCCCGTGACCCTAGGAGGGGCACCGAGGCACCGCCACCGCCGGGGATGCGCGGGCGGTACTCACTGCCGCACGACCGTCAGCCCGAACCGAACCATGGCGCAGGGCAGCTCAGGCGGGCGCAGGTGAACGCAGGCGTGCGCAGGTGTGCCCAGATGTGCGCGCAGGTAAGCCCAGATGTGCGCGCAGGTGAGCGCGTGTCCCACTGCCCGCACTGCGGCGCCGCGCGCCGAGCCGTGACGTCATACCCCCGCCCGGCGTCCCGCTCTGACGTCATCGGAGGCGGATCCCGGCAGTAAAGGAGGATCCGGGAAGGGTTTATGGCTCCCTGCGGCTCCGCGATGGTACGGGACAGCTGGCCCGGCTCCCACTCCACAAGCGACAGGACGAGAGGGAACGGCCTCACACGGGATACCTGGGTTGGACATAGGGAAGAAATTCCTCTCCCAAAGCATTCAGACAGGCTGCGGGGCAGCGGTGAAGTCACCGGCCCTGGTGGCATTTAAGCGCCCCGTGGATGTGGCGCCTGGGGACAGGGTTCAGTGGTGGGCGTGGCAGTGTGAGGTTTACACCTGGACTTGCGCGCCCTAAACGGTTCCGCATTCTCACTCTGCGGTTACAATCAGGGTCTTTCACCTTAAAACTCTGGGTTTCGCAGCGTCTCACGACGCTGGTGATAAGGAAATTTCCTGGGCTAAGCATCCCGGAGCCACTTCGAGTGACACTCGCAACTGAAGCCCCTTCCCAGCTGCGTTCCCTACACTCATAGTCGGGCCAGGTTTCCTTACTGGCTCAATTCCAGGTTTCCCTTGCCAGAGTCTCAGATATCCAGATCCTTAAAATACTTCGATCACTTTGGTGCAATTACCAAATAACGAAACAACGGCCCGAGCTGGTGGACTCCCAGGAAGGACGGAGCTCAAGGGAACCCCTGGGCTTTTACACCCTCACAGGTTAAGGGTAGGGAAGTCTCGGTTTTCAGCTCTTGCCGAGTCTCTGAGTGTCCATGCCCTGCCTGGTGCCACAAGGCGCTGTGCTGGGCAAAGGTCTTGGCAATTCCCAGCCTCTTACCTCAGCTGGGAGCGGGCTGCTCCTTACCTAGCACGGGATCCCCGGGATTGACCCGGGGGCCCTGAGGGCCGGGCGCGGTGCGCGGGCGCCCCCTGGCGGCCCGCCCGCGCTCTGCAGCGCCCCCTGGCGGCTCCTTCCCACTCCACAGCCCTCGCCTTTCCCTGGATCACGGATCCCATCCTTGGCCCTGGCGCTGCTGCACGCCAAGGAGACTCACACCGCGCGTTAGGCACTCCTGTCGCAAAGCTCTGTAGCGTTAGGCCAAGCCCTAATACCTATACCTGGGAGATTAAACATCACCATCAGCACACACCAGAAAGATCAGTACTTTGTTGTGTCTAAGAAGTAGATCCAAAGTAACTGGAATAAAAAGCTTCTCGGAGAAGCAAACAAGTTGAATTTACAATCATGGAATCATAGAATATCCTGGAAGAGACCCACAAGGATCATCCAGTCCAACTCCTGGCCCAGCACGGACACCCCAACAATCCCACCCTGTGCATCCCTGAGAGCATTGTCCAAACACTCCTGGAGCTCTGGCCGCCTTGGGGCTGTGACCATTCCCTTCAATGCCCCAGCACCCTCTGGGGGGAAAAACCTTTCCCTGATACCCACCCTAACCCTCCCCTGACACAGCTCCAGCCGTTCCCTGGGTCCTGTCCCTGGTCACACAGAGCAGAGATCAGAGCCTGCCCCTCCTCTTCCCCTTGTGATGAAGCTGCAGAACTGCTGTGATGAGTTCTTCCCTCAGAGACAATGTGAGGAAGCTGGAAATTTAAGATACATTTTTGTTTGAGTGTGCTGGATGACAACGCTGATTTCATCCCTTATCCTCCAGCTGGTTATGTCCCACTCACAGCTTTGCTCAAGTTCTGAAAAGCCTCATCAGAAAGGTCAGTCTATTGCTCTTCAGGGATGCTTGCGAGTCCTCTGTCAGATGAACCAGAGCTTTTGCTCTAAGAAGGGTTCCTGAGTAATCTGAGGAGACAAACACAGACGGTCTGCTGACCTTTCCCTCTCTCCTTCATTGCTCTGGCCTAATTCTTCTTGCAGTTTCTGCATGTTGCATTTTGGAAGAGCTCAAATAACAACCCAGTTTATTTTTAGAGAAAACTCAATAGCAAGACCAAACGAGCACCACATCATTTCCACAGAAGGACAGGCATTTAAGGAGACAGACATTTTCCTTTTTACTGTTTTCTTCTTTGCACCAGTTCCTTTCTCTCTCTCTAGTAGGTTGCAGCAAAACTCAGTGTTTTTTCTTACCTCAGTGTAAATACCTCAGCTTTACTCACCTTAATTTTTAATCTTAACAGGTCCTGATTGAATGACACTACTGCTGAGGGATGCTCTTCCTCACAGTGCCCCTGGAGCCCAGCAGAGCACTGACCTGATGTTCTCCCTGGCAAGTGTCCTTGTAGCAATTATGTCACAGTAATTATGTCGAGATGGACTGGACTGGCATCACCACCAGTCCTTTATTAGAAAACTTTTCATGCCTTCTTTCAGTGAACTTCTTTCTGACAACTCTGACCCCTCATAGGCAGCTGCACACAGCTCTGACTCGTTCTTTCCTCTCTGGAAGTTTCCTTCTGCATGACTGGATAAACCCCAACCTGTCCCTTTCCCTGTCTCCTGACCCCCAGCCTCCTGATTTAATCCCTATTTCCTATTCATTTTAAATTCATTCATATTAATTCCATAATTAATTATTAATATTTCCATCCACGATTTTTTCTATTTGTTTGTGTTTATTTTTGTGCCTATGTTTCTTCATTTTAGCAACATTTGTTTTTTCCTTTTTTTTCCTTCTCCCCATTCATTTTATCTTGAAGTTTGTCTTTTGAGTTCTTTTCCTTTTATTTATCTTTTGGTTTGGCAGTGTAATTTACTTTATGATGGTGTTTTTCCCAGTATGTCTGCCCAAATGCCTCTTCTTCATTCTTCAGGGTCTCTTTGCTCTCCCCAGGGGTGAAAAATGGCTGGAAATTCAGGAGAAAACTGCTGCTGGATGGCAGTGGAGGTCAGGCCAAACACATCACACAGGAGCTTGGTCACTTCACAGCAGGAATCCACAAGCAGATGTGGGAGACAGAGAGGTTGAGCATCCTGCCCTCCTGGCCACAGGCTGAGGAAGCAGACTCCGGACAATGGACTCATTTCTTCCCACTGGCCTCACCACAAATCCCACTCCTTTTACTCACAGCTTCCCCAGGTTTACAGAAAGAAAAACAATCTGATTTTTGCAGTAGCATTCCAGTGCAACAAACTACTCAGTGGAGATTTAAATAGTATTTCAATTCGTTGCAAAAATGTGCACTCCATGTGGCTTTTCACTAGCTCAATTTGATTCCCACAAAATATTTTGATCCTACAATTTACCACTTTTTAGGACTTTGTTCTCCTTGAATCTCATGGGATTACATGTCAGAATTTGCCTGTCCAGTGGGAAAGCAAGTACATTTTAGAGGCAGGCATGTTCTGTGACTGCAGCCTTTATTTTATATGCCTACTAACACCATCTATCCAGATCAGAGCCTTTAGTATCACATCCCACCAAGGAAATGCTACCACGGAGTGAGTGACACAACCAAATTCACTAAAGGAATAAAAGCAAGGCCAGTAAATTTAGGTCAAGGTGAGTTTATTGTCCATACAGCATACCTAATCCCGCCAAAACACTTTTCTTAGAACCATCTTTAAACTAGTCAAAACAATAGGTTATTAATAAAAATGACAACACTGAACAAAGACCTTTTAAAAGGCAATCAAGACTACACCGTATCAGAGTCTTATCCATCAAAAACAACCTCGTGTACTTTCTAAATACTTTTGTTTACACTGATGTCTACTACCACACTTTCTAGCATCCCCTGACCACATAAACATCCACACCTCTTAAAGAGCACATTTGTGAGAGAATAACGTTGACTTGATATGGCATCACACTCAATAAAGCAAAAAAAAACAAAAAAAAAACCCAAAAGAACCAAACAAACAAAAAAATCAAAAAATAAACAAAAAAAAAAAAAAAGGAAAAAAAAAAAAAAAAAAAAAAAAAAAAAAACAACCCAAAAAAGTTTGAGAACAGAAACTGTGCAACCGAGAGTGATTTCTGAGGTACATGAGAACATGGTAATAAACATAGTGGAAAAAATCCAGTGGCCAGGTGGTTTGCTGAGTAATTAAGAGCTGTCCGATTACTCAAGCATAAATCATCAACATTAACATGGGATTAATCGCTATTTTTCTCTTTCACAAGCATATTGGAAATACAAATAAATACATTATGAGGTGCTCCTACACTACAGGAACGCGAAGGAGGAGAAGACCATCGAAGTACCATCAATAGGAAGCTGAGAGAGAGGAACACTTTTAGCAATTGTACCAATCCTTTGGCACTTGGGAAGGCAGAATCAGCAAGACCTTTTCTATTCTTTTTTAATCAATCAATTGGGTGGTTTACGATTTCTGCAGTTCAGGGGGGAAGATCTCACACCTCATTTGCAGTAACAACACACTTCCTTTAACATCTGTTAAAAGAGAGTACTAGGCAGTCATTTTATTCTGAAAGCTACTGTGAAAGTACTCAAGTTGTAGGGTCTGCAGCCTTCAAACATACAGTACACTGTAAGCAGAGGATTGGCACCTGCTGAGCACGTCACTGCAGCCGAGGACACTCCTCACCCTGGTGGGGATACACACAGACCCACCAGGACCCCATGGGAGACTGGGAATGCTGAATGGTGCTGCCCCTTCCAGCACAGCTCGCCCTCATCCTGCTGCAGAGGAGCCAACCACAGAGGTGGCCCTCAGCCCCTGCCCCTTCAGCTCTGCAGAGGGGAGACATTGTGGGATCATCCCTGTGATCCACAGGAGGGATCATCCCTGTGATCCCACAGCTGCTGTGGGACCGGGGTGTGCAGGAGGTTGGACAAAGAGCAGGGGCAAGCACCCTAAACACAGGTCCTGCCTACACCTGGCCCATGGCACGGAGCAAACCACGGCACCATGATGGCCACAGCGCCAGCGCTCCGAGAGGTGACCCCACCATCAGGACCCTCAGGCACAGCTCCCCATGGAGGCACGGGGCAGGGCTGCCAAGGAATGACCTGACCTGATCTGGTCTGATCTGCGTGTGGCTCCATAGCCTTGCTTCAACAACATCAGCTGCTTTTTCCCCCAGGACAGAGACACC